AAAAGATGTAAACCAAAATAAGATTTACAGACAGCAAATAAGCATATGAAAAGATGCTCAGCATCCTATGTAACTTGCAAATTGCAAATTAAAACAAGATACCACTACCCACCTATTAAAATTGCCAAAATCCATAATGATGACAACACCAAATACTGGTGAGGATGTGGAACAACAGAAACTCTCATTCATTGCTGGTAGGAATGCAACATGGTTCGGTCACATTGGAAGACAGTTTGGCAGTTTCTTACAAAGCTAAACATAGTCTTACTGTATGAGCCAGTAATCATATCCCTAGGTATTTACCCAAGTGAGGTTAAAACTTACATGTACACAAAAACCTGCACATGAATGTTTATAGTAGCTTTATTCATAATTGCCAAAACTTGATTTTAAAAAAAAGATGTGCTTCCATAGGTGAATAGATAAACACACTTGGTATGTCCATCCATAGAATATCATTCAGCGCTAAAAAGAAATGAACTACCAAGTCACAAAAGACATGGAGGAATGTTAAATGCATATTGCTAAGTGGAAGAAGCCAGTCTAATGCAACTATATGACATTCTAGAAAGGGTACAACTCTTGAAACAGTAAAAAGATCAGCAGTTGCCAGGAGTTTGGTGGCGGAGAGGAAAAAGGGAAGGCGAGGAAGGAAGAATAGGTGGAGCACAGGGTTTTTTGTTTTTGTTTTTGTTTGTTTGTTTGTTTGTTCGAAGTTGGAATTTCACTCTGTCGCCCAGACTGGAGAGCAGTGGCACGATCGTGGCTACCATAGTCTTGATCTACTGGGCTTAGGCGATCCTTCTGCCTCAGCCTTCCAAATAGCTAGGACTATAGGCATGCACCACCACACCTGGCTAACTTTTTGATTTATTATAGAGATGAGGTCATATCCAGTTGCCCAGGCTGGTCTTGAACTTCTGGGCCAAGGCAATCCTCTTGCTTTCTCCTCCCAAGGTGCTGGGATTACAGGGTTGAGGCAGTGAAACTATTCTGTATGACACTGTAATGGTGGATATATGATATTTTGCATTTGGCAAAATCCATGGAAAGTATAATGCAAAGAATGAACCCTAGTGTAAACGACAGACTTTAGCTAATTATACCAGTGTTGGTCCATCAACTGTAACAAATGTATCACACCAAAGCAAAATGTTAATAATAGGGGAAACTATGGGGGCAGGGTAGGGGAAAGGAGAAGGAGCATATGGGAACTCTGTACTTTCTGCTCAATTTTTCTGTAAACCTAAAACTGCTCTTAAATATAAAGTCTGTTAATTTTATTTAAAAACAAGACAAGATCAAAGCATGAATATGACTAACATCTATCATTGAATACAATGTTTTCAGGGTGTGCCAATTTTGAATTTTTGGTTTATTGGAATGGTTTATCTGATAATAGATATAAAAGTACTTCATGCTGTGTTTAGTTAAATTTTGCAAAACTACATTTGAGGAAGTCCTGTTCTTTCATTTATAAAACTAAAGAAGAATACCAACGCTTTAGGAAGCCAAGGTGAGAGAATCACTTGAGGCCAGGAGTTCAAAACCAGCCTGGCCAATACATACGGCGCCATCTTTCCAAAAAAAAAGAGAGAGAGAGTGAGAAAAAGAAAAAAAGAAAGAAAAATGAAGAAAGTGGGAAGAAAGAGAAGGAGGAAAAGAAGGCAAGAGCTTGAGGGAATCACAATTCCATATTTAACATTTCCCTTAAGTTCCACATTTAACATTTGCCCTTAAGGGAACAGCAAACGTTCAGCACATTTATTTTATTACTATCAGCACAATAAAAGTTTTGTACTTTAATTGCTGCAAATAAAGAGTGTCAGTAAATGGAAGTTAATGCAGAAACAGAAGGCTGTATCTTATTTATCTCTTTATCCAATTCTCTTTCCCTTTTCTGCCCTTACAGACACAGATGCTGGTTGGTAGTTGCTCAATTGTATTTGGAATCTGTGCCACACAACCGTGCTTCAGGATATGAGTTGTCACCAAGGTGTAGAGCTATCTCATATCCCCTGGCTAACATTCTATCCCCCAGGGGCCTGGAAGGCAGTAGAGCACTCAGATTCTCCGTGCAGGTCAAGCTCTGGCCACTAATTTATTCAATGTCTCCTCTCCATCAATTTGTGTGTGCACGCACATATACATGATCTTTAGCTCAAATATATCCTAGAATGGCCACATCACTCCATTTCATCCTGTGCTTATCTCTTTTGGTTGTCAAAACACACCAAAAAGCTCCAACCACATTTCTACCTGTTGGCAGACACAGCTCGTCCCAGTGTGGTCAATTGTCCATTTATGGCAGTCTTTCCAATATGAATTTCAAATTCATATTGATTCATGAGTGTATAATTTTCCATACATGTAGAGACCTAATATCATCAAACTCCTTCCTATAGAAGTATCACCGATGAACTATCAAAGAAATCCTGATAAGCAAGGCATCTACAGAACTGACGAAGCCAGCACCCCAATAGTTATCAGGGATCAAAAGTTTGTATTGACTAAGAAGTATTCTGAAGTATACTGAAAAATTATTTTTTTAATTATGTAGTTCAGGTTTCGATCCTGTAAATCCTTTAAAAACTTTGTTTTAGTCTTGCAATCTCTTAAACAATTGTTAGCATAAATGGAAAGCATCAACAAATTCAAATGGACACAGACTTCAAGAGAGTCCCTCAAAGTCTCCTTCAACTTCTATTTTCCTAACCCAGATTCCTGCCTCAGTCCCCTGGGTGTCAGCCATGCACCCTCCCAGGCAGCTGCGGAGTCCCCTATTGTAAAGAGGAGTAGTAAGTAGAAACTGAATGCCCCCATAGACCATAACACACACATGATTTAATTCCTGTAACGAATGAAAGTGCAAAAGATTCCCCGTCTGGGCTGTGTTGGGCGTCCTTGAGACCCAACCTCTGCTAACCCAACCCTACTGGCTACCTGCACCTGCCTATATGCTCTGGCTCTCCCTCACTTCCAGTTCAAGAAACAAAGACTGCTCCCAGAAGCCTGGGCAAGAGGAGCACCATGACAAAGGAGCAGGGGCAGAGGTTTTCTCTTTGGAACTAAAGCACGTGACCACCAGCCATGGGGGAGATAGACCAATTACTGTTGCAAAATTGGCTTGTATAGACAATTGATGCAAAGGTGTACAGTCTGATGTCACAAAAGTTTTCAATAGAAAAACTACTGCCTATCTTTTGTTGTGATTTACACAAATCACAGATTTTATCTTACTCAATTCAGTTCTTGGACCCTGCCTTGGACAAACCGATTTTACATAGAAGATATCCCATAGTGTGTTCCACTTTTCCCATTTAACATTATTTCATACATCATTCCCTTAAATTCAAAAAAAAGGAGATTTCTCTCTTTTTTCAGAGACAAGGTCTCTCCCTGTTGCCCAGGCTGGAGTGCGATGGCAAGATCACAACTCACTGCAGTCTCAATCTCTTGGGCTCAAGCAATCCTCCGACCTCAGTCTCTGCCGCTGTACCCAGCCAAAAATTACTTCTTAAGAAAATCCCAGAGGCCAACAAGTTATCAGTAGACTGAATTTGGAATTTCCACAGCAAACCTACGTGCCTTCAAAAATCCAAATTGTGCCAGGTGCCGTGGCTTATTCCTGTAAACTCAGCACTTTGGGAGGCCAAGACAGAAGGACTGCTTGAGCTCAGGAGTTTGAGATCATCCAGGGCAACACAGCGAGAACTCGTCTCTACAAAATTTTTAAAAATTAGTTGGTTGAGTGTGGTGGTGCACACCTGTAGTTTTAGCTACTCAGGAGGCTGAGGTGGAAGGATAGCCTGAGCCCAGGAGGTTAAGGCTGCAATGAGCCATGACTGTAGCACTGCACTCCAGCCTCGATGACAGAGCAAGACTCCAACTCAATTTTTTTTTTAATGAGAAAGCAAGATTTATTGAGAGGACAGAAAAGCTCCCACAGTGGGAGGGAACCCAAAGGGGTTGCCCCCAACTCAATTTTTTAAAGTCCAAATTAGTAGAATTAGTGTTAGTATTCTCTTTCATTTAAAAAAACAGTATAAAATGAATAGAAACACTGGTCATAAACTACATATTGCTGGACTAACATATGATAGGACCAGTATAAGGAACTAGACAATGAGGGGACTACAAATTCTTTGTACTAGATAGGTAACAAAGACTGGGATGGGTACATGGGGGGAGGAGAAAGAAGAGGAGGAAGAGAAGTGGGTTAAAAGGTACAAACATATAGTAAGACAGAAGGAATAAATTCAGGGTTTGATAGCAGAGTAGAGTAACTATTCTTAACAAAAATGTGTTGTACTAGGGTGACAGATACCCTAAAATATCCTGACTTGATCACTATGCATTATGTACATGTAATAAAATTTCAAATGTAACCCATAAATTTATACAAAGTTAAAAAATAAAAAAAGCCACTTTTTGAAAACAAATTTCCTTTTGCCGGGGCATATTGGTAGAAATGGGTGGGTGGGAGATAAGTATACAGTTTTTTCTCTGGGCTTTGAACTTAATTGGAGTGTATCAAGCTCAAGTCATTAACATAGAATTTGCATCCTCTAAGCTAAGCTAACTAGGCAAAGTGGAATTTGGACATTATAACTCACCTACAATCGCGATAAGCCCTCCTTATTCTGCTTGAGTTTGGAAAGAAAAAGAAAAAATAAATTATACATATAGCATACATATATGCACATTCATACTTTCATATATAGCATATACATATATGTATATAATTACACACAGCACACGAAACGAGCAGAATTAACCGTGTTGTTCATACGGTCGCTCGGTGAAATATATCCTGTTTTTCGTTGTCCTTCCCTTCAGGTATTTCAAATTCGAGGCTGAGAAAAGACTTAGTCTCCTATGCAGCTTAGATCTGAGGAGCCTCACTCGGAACTAGAAGTATGAGTGGACCCGGTTGCCTCATCGGCGTATTTATACAAAGACACATCGCCTCTCATCGACTAGAACCACTTTGGTCTGGGGAAGATATTTGCCGATGTACCCGGAACTGTTGCCAGGATATCCTTACCTTTGTGCGGTTGCGCGGCAGTGGGTTCTGATAGCCTAGGCAACCGAGATATTCTCAGGCTTGCTAGAGCACCACCTTTCCTCGCGGCTTGGGGGACCCTGCGGTGGCGATGGCTCCAGTATCCGGCTCGCGCAGCCCAGGGCGGGAGGCCACGAGTTCCGGGGGGAGACGTCGCAGTTCATCCAGGAGCCCCAAACCCAGCAAATATACCCGCTCCCCGCGGGGCCGCCGCTCTCGCTCCCACTCTTGCTCTCGGTCCGGGGACCGAAATGGACTCAGCCATCAGCTGGGTGGCTTCAGCCAAGGCTCCCGAAACCAGTCCTACCGCTCCCGTTCGCGGTCGCGTTCCCGAGAGCGGCCCTCTGCACCGCGGGGCACCCCCTTCGCTTCTACCTCCTCGTCCGCCTATTATGGCAGCTACTCGCGCCCCTACGGGAGTGACAAACCGTGGCCCAGCCTCCTCGACAAGGAGAGAGAGGAGAGCCTGCGGCAGAAGTGAGTGAGACGGCCGCACCATCTCTTGTACGAGCCCACCTGCCTTTGGAGTTCGATTTATCGTTCATTCCGCTTCTGATTATTCGCATTTTGCCCACTGTGCTTGCCTTGCACCCATTTTCATCCCTTTCTTTAATCCGCCCACGACAACCCTTTATTCATTATTTTCTTCCCTTGCATTTTCCCTCATATTCGGGCCTCTTCATACAGTGCCCTAATCTCCCGCTACCCCCTTTCGCTTCCTGGCTTGTTAGCGAACATGGCCTCAGACCTACAGGAACTGTAGCACTTACTTGATTGTGCTGTTATTATTTGTGAACATATTCGTGTTCCCCACTAGACTGAACTCATGGAAAGGAAGATCCCTATTTTATTGATCATAGAATTCGCAGTGCCTAGCACTTTGTAGGCACGCAGTCATTGCTTTTTGAATGGAGGAATAGATTTGAGATAACAGGATATGTATGTGGAAATGTTCTGTGGGGAATTGGAAAAGGTTAAAATCAAGGGTTTAAATTGGAGAGGAGGAAAACCTTCCTCTCAGACAAGGTGATTAGATGAATGTAGGGAAGGTGGTTTGATAAACTGTAGATGAGGCTACCTTGAGAAGTGGTTACCTTGAGAAGACCACTTGTTAAGTGGTCTCCATCCTACCCATGAAAAATGACGCCAAGGTGCGATCAGATCTCCTCTAATGAAAGTGAGCATTGAAGTGGAAAAATGCATAGTTTAAGAGGGAGAAAGGAAAAGGTTTATAATTATTGTTGTGTGTCTTAATATGTAATGTTTATTAAGTGCTAAATTATGCCAGGCACTGTACTATGTACTTTACATGCACTTTGTGTCTAAAAAAAAATGAGAAATTTAGAGACATATTACGGGCATTGAGGAACAGGTTGAAAGTTTGAACAGTTGAGAGAGATCTTGATGATTCTTTATCTTCCAGCAATGGGAGGTAGTTTAGTGTTGAAATAGATAGGTTTCAGAATCATACTGCCTGAGTTTGAACCCCTTATTTGTGACCTTGGACAAGTTATTTAACTTCTCTGAGCTCCATTTTTTCATCATTAAAAACGGGATAAAATTAACGCCAAGGCCTTTAGGGTTGTAATAATTTAGTGCCTGGAACATAATAAATATTCCATAAGTGTTAGCTATTAGTGCTTCATGCATGGAAGCAGAAATGGTAAAAACTTAGCTCTGAGTTAGGTTGGAAACATACCACTCCAAGTTAAATTTTTCAGAAAAGTACTCACAGGCTATGTCAATCAAAAAGCAAATGGGGGCCAGGTGCAGTAATCCCAGCACTTTGGAAGCCTGAGGCTAAAGGATTGCTTGATGCCAGAAGTTTGAGATCAGCCTGGTCAACATAATGAGACCATCTCTACAAAAAAGAAATTCAAAAAATAGCTGGGTATGTTAGCATATGCCTGTAGTCCCAGCTACTTGGGAGGCTAATATGGGAGTATCACCGGAGCCCAGGAGTTCAAAGCTACAGTGGGCTATGATCTTGTCACTGCACTCCAGCCTGGACAACAGAGTGAGACTCTGTCCCTTAAAGTAAAAAATAATTTTTTTTAAAGCAAATGGCTTCTTATTGGATAATACGCACCCAAAAAATGTCACAACTATTTGGATGAAATTTACACATGTATATTTAGAAAGTGAGTAATTTATCTTAACAGTACGGATGAAGCCAAGTGGCAATAGGTTTGAGAACAGAACATTATGCTCATAGTCTTGCAAGCATTCTTCCCCCTATATGCATAAATTCCAAGTACAGCTATAAGTATGTCCCTTTTTAAATTGTTCCTTTGAGTGGGAAACCTTCTGAGTATGAGTGGGCATAGTTATAATACCTTTTCCCCTAAATAAAGAAGTAAATTTTGTGGGAGTCAGAGTCTCATTCTGTTGCCCAGTGTGGAGTGCAAAGGCACAATCACAGCTCACCGCAGCCTCCACCTCCTGGGCTCAGACAGTTCTCCCACCTCAACCTCCCGAGTAGCTGGGACTACAGTTGCATACTACCCTGCCTGGTTAATTTTTTGTTAAATTTTTTGTAGAGATGAGGTCTCACTTTATTGCTCAGGCTAGTTTCGAACTCCTGGGGTAAAGTGATTCTCCCCCTCAGTCTCCCAAAATGCTAGGATTATGGCATGAGCCATCACACCTAGCCTAAGAAGTAAAAATTTATTTAAACAGACAAACCAATTATATTTATTTTGTAAGGATTTTTTTTTTAAACAAATGGAGTCACAAGCAGCTAAACTGAGGAATTGAGCTTTAGTGGTTTGTTTTGTTTGGGTTTTCAGTATATGGATAATTGCAAAAGTTAAAACAGAAAAAACCACAAACGTCATAAAACAAAAGAAAACACAATTATAATGTTCTCCCAAGAGTAAATACAGAATGTGCTCCTTTAAAAAAAAAAAAAACTGAAAGGAAAACAGAATGAACCCTGTATTTCATTGATTACAATTTTTGTCAAACCTTTTCTTTCATTTTCAGAACACCCTTTGTTTTTCACTTCTAAGGTATCATTTTTGTTTTCTTCATTAATTCCTGAGTTTCTGAAAACTGAAGGTTGACCAAGTCAGAAGAGACTTCTTACTTTCATAAATGTGTGTAAATAAATGAAGTTATTTCTGAATGTAACATTGCTTCTGTCACAGATGATGAAATTAGCAATTTAAGAGTTATGCCATGCATTTTACAGAAGATGCACTTGACAGTCTCTCAGGCTATCATTTCTTTTGTTGTTTTTGAGTCAAGATCTCACTCTGTCACCCAGACTAGAGTGCAGTGGCATGATCACAGCTCACCGAAGCCTTGACTTCCTGGGCTCAGGTGATCCTTCTGCCTCAGCCTCCCAAGTAGCTGGGACTGCAGGAGCATGCCACCACATGTGGCTAATTTTTTTAAATTTTTTGTAGAGACAAAGTCTTCCTATGTTGCTCAGGCTGGTCTCGAACTCCTGGGCTCAAGCAATCCTTCTGCCTTGGCCTCCCAAAGTGCTGGGATTATAGGCATGAGTTACCACACTCAGCTTCAGGCTATCATTTGTATAGTCTGTACCATTTGATTGTATCAGAACCTCCAAGTCCTAAGTGATGAGTTTACGATTAAACCAAGTTTTTATTAATGTTTAAAATGTGAAGGGAAATTGGACTTAACTGTATGTCTGTTGAATTTGATTATACATTTAGGAAACAATTCAACCACGAGTTATAATGTACATGTCTTTATCTTCTAGGAGATTAAGTGAGAGAGAGAGGATTGGAGAATTAGGAGCTCCTGAAGTGTGGGGACTTTCTCCAAAGAATCCTGAACCAGAGTAAGTGATTTAAAAATACCTTCTTCAAATATCTCACACCATTTGTTTCAATCCTGAGTCTGTTGTCAAAATTTGTGCTAAGAACTGTAAATACATCTCACATTTTTTCTTTCTTGTGATTTATGTTCTTCTAACCCTTAAGTTTTAAAAACAACATACATTAGGAATAAGACCTATTGCTAGTGGGCATTGGCATGCTAATTTTTCTCTTTATATCATAATTCATGAAATACGACTTCTGATTGATAGAAGGGTTTGGTGTTAAAACAAATGATCCATTTATATTTTGAATTATTTTTTTCTCAATGAACTCATTAGCAGATTGCATGTCAGATATTAGCATTACAGAGGGAATTTTTTTTGAGTTGGAGTCTCACTCTGTCGCCCAGGCTGGAGTGCAGTGGCATGCTCATAGCCACTGCAACCTCGACCTGCTGTGCCTAGGCAATCCTTCTGCCTCAGCCTTCCAAGCAGCTGGAACTACAGGCATGTGCTACCACACCTGGCTAATTTTTTTACTTATTGTAGATATGAAGTCTTGTCAAGTTGCCCAGGCTGGTCTTGAACCCGTGGAGGCAGGCAGTCCTCTCACCTCGGCCTCCCAAAGTGCTGGGATTATAGGTGTGAGCCACTGCTCCTGGCACAGGAATTTTTTTTTTTTTTAGAAAGCAGGATTTATAGAGAGGACAGAAAAGCTCCCATAGTGGGAGAAGACCCAAAGGGATTGCCCCAGAGGGATTTTTAAAATGAACATACCAGTATGGTTTTTTTTTAGCTGATTTTCCTATATCCATTACTATCTGAAGGCTTAATGCTTTTTATTTTTCTTTATTTATTTTCTCTTTGATGCTCCCCTCATGAGTTTTTTCTTCCCGTTCCTCTTCTCTATTTCTATGTCTGCTTTAGGTTGAGTTGAGACAATGTACTTCACAGGTAAACCTGTAATTTGTGACAGGATGATAAAGCATTGTTATCTGAAACTTGTTTTGTTTTGTTTTATTTTGTTTTGTTTTGAGTTGGAGTCTCACTCTATCGCCCAGCCTGGAGTGAGTGGCACGTTCATGGCCACTGCAGCCTCGACCTACTGGGCTTAAGCGATCCTTCCACCTCAGCCTTCCAATTAGCTAGAACTACAGGCATATGCCACCACGCCCTGCTAGTTTTTGTGATTTATTGTAGAGACGAGGTCTCATCAAGTTGCCCAAGCTGGTCTTGAACCCCCAGGCTCAGACAATCCTCTCACCTCGGCTTCTCAAAGTGCTGGGATTACAGGCTGAGCCACCGTGCCTGGCTGAAACTTGTTCTTATAGATTCTTTTAGAAAATACTTGAAGAACCTGGGCTCACAGAATTAGAAGTGGAAGGAATTCTAAAAATAATTTTTAGACAATACCTAAATTATGCCAGGTGTGATCTTCAGAGGAAACAATTATATAATGTAGAAACTCCCTTTCTAAACTGTTATACAATTTTAATATACTCTTTCTCAGAATTCTTTGCAACAGAACAAAACTCTCTTTAGACTGTAGTTTGTTAAGCTCTTCTTGCTCTGAGGAGACAAAACAGTTGCTTCTCTTCCTTGTCCTTTACATCCTTCGAATAAAATTATGAAGTCTTCCTTCAGCTTTTTTTTTTTTTTTTTTTTTTTTTGTCTGAGCCTCACTATTTGGAGGCTGCAGTGCAGCCTCTACCTGCTGGGCTCAGGTGACCCTTCCACCTCAGTCTTCTGAGTAGTTGGAACCACAGACATGCGCCTCTATGCCTGGCTGAATTTGTTGATTTATTGTAAAGACAAGGTCTCACTATGTTGCTCAGGCTGGTCTTGAACCCCTGAGCTAAGGTAATCCTCTCACCTCCGCCTCCTAAAGTGCTGGAATTACAGACGTGAGCCACCAGGTCGGGCCTTCCCTAAGCCGCCTTATATCCAGTTTCTCTCATTTTTCCTATGGTTCCTATAAATTCTCCATGCTTCTTTGTTTAGATAGCACTCTGTAAATTCTAAAGCACTATGCAAGTGTAAGTTATTTTATTATTACAAGTGTGATAGACCCTTGAACTGTACTCTTACAAAAGTAGTCCAATGCTTGCTTTTAATGATTCTTGGACAATCAGTGCTGTTACTGAAAAATTTTAAGTCCATGGTCCATATCTCACCACTTTTCAATTCTTAACAACCATTTTCTTTAAATTCAGCTCTGATGAACATACACCAGTAGAGGATGAAGAGCCAAAGAAAAGCACTACTTCAGCTTCTACTTCAGAAGGTATTTTTTAAAAATACAGAGCTATTTTTTGAGAAGTTTTTAAAAATAAATTTATAAGTAGCTGAACACTAGACTTTGCTTTTATTCAAATTGCCCATCTATTCCTTTTCCATATTTCAAATAAAATAAAATTGGTGTTCAGAAATACTTTTTATAAGTTAGTTTTTTGTTTGTATTTTCCACAGAAGAAAAAAAGAAGAAGAAGAAGTCGAGTCATTCAAAAGAAAGGTCCAAGAAAAGGAGAAAGAAAAAATCATCTAAAAGAAAACGCAAGAAGTATTCTGAAGATAGTGACAGTGACTCTGATTCTGAAACAGACTCTAGTGGTAAGAAGGCCACTGTATACTGCAAGCCTTGCTTCAAAACTAGTTTTACTTCTTGAAACTTATCTTAGAAGAAGGTTCTTAAAAACAGTAATAATAGTAAAGAGTTTTTGAACGCTTGCTGACTTGGTGCCAAACACCCTGACAAGTGCTTTATATTCATTTTCGCTGTTTAATCCATACCATAACTAGGGTACATCTCATAGATAAAGAAATGGAGGCACAGCACAGGTTATAAGTACTACAACTAGGGCCACACAGTTGGGATTTAAACCAAGCAATCTGACTCCAGAGTGGTTGTACATTGTTGTACAAGGCACATGGCACCAGACCAAGTCAGGGGTTGTACTTCACCAAGGTAAGCCTTGCAGGGCTGCATCAGCCCAGTGGAAGGACTCTTTTGTGTAATTCTCGGGTCCAATGGGCAGCACTGTACAGTTTTCAAAAAGGCATGCCATAGAGTACCCCCTTCAGGCACCCCACCTGGGTAGTGCATCACAAAAAGCCACCTTTTTGTGCCCTTTTGTGGCTGATGATTGACCAGAGGCTGCCTTCTCTAGGGTTGACACATTGCACAAAGGCTCCCCTTCCTTTGATATCACCCAGGTTTCCTGGCCCCCAATGCCATTCTCTTTACTTCCTTACTGCTGGAAAACTGAACTTTATTAAAGCACAAACTGATCATGTCAGCTCCCTACTTAAAATTCTTCAGTAGCACTCCATAGCCTTCGGGGTAAAGTTTGGATCCTGATCTTGATCCTGATCGATCCCTCTTTAATCATATATATCCTTTCACTCTCTCTTATACCATCCCTATAGCCTGAGAACTCTGTTCTATCTCCTCAGTATTCTGTGTTCTTTCTCTTGACTCTTTTACTTGGTAGAGAGTCCCTCTACCTACAATGCCAGCCTCTCCCTCCATCCAGCTTTGTTTACTCATTGCAACAATGGGCATGCATTACTTTTGTAGTCAGTGATTTTTTAAAAGAACTACTTAAAGAGTCACCTTTTCCCGGTCAACCATTCCTTACCACCCTCCCCAGATCAGTCTGATTTTGAGACATGCTTCCCTCTGTTACTCCTGTTTGTTTTGATCTCTACCTATCTGTCTTCCGTATTAGACTAAGCTCCTGGAAAGCATTCTCCCTCCCTCCCAACACACATATAGTTTTCTTTCTGCTTTTATCATGAAAATCTTCAAATAATTCAGAAGAGGGAAGAGAATAGTATAATAATATATACTTAACACCCCGATTTAACAGTTGTTTTTGTATTTTGACATATTTGCTTCAAATATGGGTTCTTCTGCTGAGATATTCAAAGTTATTTATAAATATCATCACACTTCCGCCCTATTTCTGTATGCATCCCTGAAAAATAAAGACATTTTCCTATTTAACCACAACACTATCTCATGCAATATAAATTAATAATACCCTGTATCACCTGATGCCTAGTGTGACTTTAGTTTCTATGTTGGCAGTGCCTCGTACAGTTCCTGAGAAATAGCAATAAAAGTTTCAATGAATTAATTTCTCTATAACAATAAATGGGACAGCAATAGGATAGTTACCTACTCAAAAGTACTGGGTTTTTAGAGTTTAGCATTTTTTTCTTAATTATAATGTGCTTTAATTTGCAGATGAAGATACAAAAAGGAGAGCAAAGAAAGCCAAGAAAAAGGAAAAGAAGAAGAAACGCAGATCGTCAGTTTTTTTCTTTAAATTTTATTATAGAAAAATTCAAATGCATATAAAATGATATAAAATGGTATAATGATCCCTCATGTACCCATCACACAGTTTGAACAATTATCAACTCATGGGCAGTCTCCACCATGCTCCATTTATTTTGGAATCTCAGAATCTATTTCATCCATGAATATTTCAGCACCTTACTCTAAAAGATGGGCATTCTTTAAAAGCAAAAACAGCCAAAAAAACCCACCATAACCACTATGCTATTATCACGCCTAAAACATTTAACAATAATTCCTCAATTTTCAACAGTTTTTTTCAACATTTTATTTCAATAAGGATCTAAATAATGTCCACAAATTGCAATGATCGTATTCTTATAGTGTCCTTTAGCATGTTCTTCTGTCTATATATTTTCTGTAGGTTGACATGGTTCAGATTTGAGTTTTGGACAAGAATACTTCATAAGTGGTGCTGTGTTTTCTGTCAGAAAGCAAATAATATCTGGTTGTCTCTTTTTTTTGTCATATTTAGCAGGTATTGATGTTTATGCCCAGAACATTATTTCTTTAGGGATTGCAAAATGGTGATAGTCTAATTTTGGCTTTCCTTCATTTATTAGGATAATTCTATAAGAGAAGCTTGCCCTTATGAACCATTTAGATACCCTGAAGTACAGTTTGTATATTAGGGGTAGGATAATTGTTTGATTTTTTGTTTTATGAGTTTTCAAAATAATGAACTGGATTTTTTAGTATTATTATGAACCAAAGGATTTAAACAAATCTGCTATATTTTAATCCATTACATTTAAAATTATTATTAATGCTTAAGTTGATGAGTCTTTTTTTTAGTCTCTTTTACTGTCTTTTTACAACATGAGAACTGTATTTCTTTGTTCCTTTTAGTGATCTTTTTGTATAGTGAAAGATGATTTGGTTTAAATAAGTTAGATGATTGTTTAATTAAAATTCTTCTCTAGTAAGTCTGAATAAGCTGGAAATTCAGATTATTTTAATAGGTTACTTTTCATTGCCTTGAAAAATTAAGATGTCCTCTAACATGGAAAGATTAAGTAAATTTGCATCAAATTATAATCCATACAGGAAGAAATATAAGAAAAAGAAGTCTAAGAAGAACAGAAAACAGTCCAGTGATTCAAGCTCTAAGGACTCCCAGGAAGAGTTTTTAGAGAATCCTTGGAAGGATCGCTCAAGTAGGTTCTTCTGATAGACTATTTTTTTTTT